TCAATGGTAGGAATCCGGCTACATTGGAGAGCTGGTGGTTGGCTTTCCTATCTATTGCAAGTCCACATGATCTCATTGTGGCCAAGGACATAAGCACCATCTCAGCCCCAGAGTCCAGTAGGGCTCTAACCTTCACGTCATTCACAGAGATATTCAAGTATCCACACGACATGTTACCAAACCTCATCTTGGTACCAGGCGGGGCTCTTTCCACATGCTGAGGAAAGAGGCTTAGGCTATTGATTTCTACCTTCCGCCTTTCAACCATCTTTTTAAGTTCTTCAGTAAACTTAGGTACCAAGGTTACTGCTTCTTTCCAGGATAGGGTGATCTCGGTCTCCTCGAGTAATTTCTTTACTACTTCATCTATCGAGATCCCTTCCTTGGCTTCGGATCTCAAGACCACCCTTCTCTTCTTCTCGGCAGCTTCTTTCCTTTCCCTTCCTTCACTAGGTCGTTGGTCCCATCTATCAGTTGGTCTAGATCTCTTTGAACCTTCTCTCGCTTTTTCTCTTCGACCTCTTTCTGACTGATATGAGATACATTCAGACTTTGACTTCCAGGATTGTCATCTCGAGCCATTATCTCTGGAGGTAGCATACCATCGAAGGTGATAACATTAACTCTAGAATTCTTCTTTTTATCCTTATTGGTCGTAGTCTGTTCTAAGACAACTGCTCGCATCCCTCCTTTGACTCGAAAATCTATCTTGTTCCAATTGGCATCAAAGACGTGCCCATTGACATTTTTTTTGACAGTCTCTTCTTCCAGTTCCTTCTTTAGTAAAGGACACCGAGTTATAGTATGACCTTCCTCATCACAATAATAACATCGGAAGGTGTCATCTCTCCTTTGTCAATCTCGGCTCTTATTATCTTTCTTCCAATCCCGGTCACGCTTTTTCTTTTGTCTCTCTTTTCTCCTTCGCCTAGCGATATCATCATCACTACTCTCGTTCTCACTCTCACTCTCTTCCTTTTGCTTCTCATTCTTTCTTTCGACCTTACCTTCTTCGGCTCCATCAAGTGCTTGAGTTGCAGGGGCAGGAAGGGTTAACTTTTCGAAGCTGCCAAGCTTAACGAGAAGACCAAGGATTCCTTCGGCCTTCAAGTTTTCTCCCTTAGCTGCCTCAACATTTTCTTCTCTTTCACTAGTGATTGCTTTCATCTGTTCCAGAGACCACTTCCGGTTTGACACCGAAGGTAGTTCACGGACCATCTCAACCACTTCATCCCACTTCAGAGAATAACGAGCAGCACGGCTTACCACACTCTTTCTTTCATCCTTTGCAAAATTAGTTAGCAGGACATAACACTTTTGAGCCTCATCTAGGAAGGGTACTCTCCGCGCAACCCGTTCAAAATCCTCTAGGAATTGATCAAGGGTTGCATAGTTTGAACGTCGCACTTCCAACAAATTTTGCATGTTCGTTGGGACGTCATACTTTGCATATTCTTCCAGCATCTTTTGTCCAACCTCGACCCATGTTGTGAGTCTTTGTGTCGTTTTTGTCACCGACACCCTCATCTTAGGCTCAACATAGGCTAGCAGAGCTTTCAACTTCTGTTTGTCCGACCAACCGTAGCTCATACCGAAGACATCATAGTCTTCCAGGAACTCCCTAACTTTGGTTCCATCAAAGTAGGGTACGTTCTCTGGAGGTACCTCAACCTTTGGAAGGTCTAGACGAACATTCATAGTGTCCATCCCGGTCTTCATGGCCTCTATCCTTTTCAACATTTCTTGTAGGACAGTGGTAGTGGTCACTTCTCCGTCACCTGTGGAGGAACTAGCAAGCTCTGCCTTGCGTCCGGTCCCCTGATCATCTTGTCTGATTTACTGGTTAAACTCATATATCTTCCTGAACCTTTTCTCTCTTATGATTGCGTTTAGAATTGGTTCCCAGTTTCTGCCGTTGGTAAAACTTTCCGACAAAACTGATTCGGGGAACCTGTCAAACACAATCGGAGCTAGGTTACTCACTACTCTTGTTCCTTTTCTTTCTAACTCTCTCTTTTCTTGATTAACTATGTCACTAATCCAACTCTGAAAAGATTCGCGATCTGTCCCTCTCTCTCTTAATGAGGGAACATAGGGTCGAATATCGTACTCACCAGTGTCAAGGAACTTCACTACAAGGATAAACACCTTCCCAGGTGCGTGTTTCTCCTCCACGGATATGCAACGTTCTATCTTGTACGGAAAAGCTCCTCCACTGGTAAAAGGAACTAGGGCGTTTAGTGTTGCCGTGACTGTCGGACAGTGACAAGACATTGCCTAGTCCTTAGCGACCCCCATGATTCTTCTCTGTCTCTTCGATACGTCTAATATTTTCCAGTGCCTACTAAGTCTTTTAACTAGAATCCTCAATAGAGGCACTGCTTCACTTTTTATCTCTCAAGATAGTATTAAGGATTGACTCCTAGTTCTCACCATTAACAAAACTATTTGGAATAGGAGGACTTGGGAAACCTTCATACTCAGTAGGCTCCACACTCCAGGTAACTTCCTTACCTTCCTTCTTGAGTTCGTCTCTGTATTTACAGATGTGACTAAGTGCCCACTCGTGACACCCAGTATACCGCCGACAAATCTTCCTAGTCACTGGAGTATATATACGCACGTCATATTCATTGGTCTCTAGGAAGTGAGTTACTAACACATACATTTTTTCTTCTGCCTCAGGTATGGCTAAGATAGTGTATCTCTTAATCTTATAAGGGAACGCCTCTCCTACTGTGAAGGGTTTCAAATCCCTGAGTAAGTGCGAAATGACCGAAGAATTAATATCTGCTAACACCCTTCTTTCAGCCTCTTCCCAAATATGCATGCTTCCTAGGAAACCAGCATTCGTCTCAGCCATAACAGGCTCCTTTCCATTGTCAGGTGAGGGAAAATTCAGGAGAAGGTTCGTCTTGTACTTTGGATCGCCGAACGAAGGTATCGGAAAACAGAATCTTCCGTCGCATGACTAAGTCATTCTCTCTTGCCTTACCAACCAGGACAATACCTTCTAGAAGATGCGCCCAGTCTCTCCTGTCAGCGAAACTATTCGTAGTTAAAAAACTAGGGAGTCTTTCGAATTGCCTGACTCGTTTCCCCCAAGTAACTTTCTCATCCAAGCTTCGAAGTAGCTCCCTTACCCTTGAAAGGTGAATGTACACTCTCTTCAGACATTCTAAATCTCTTCTTCTCTTATTCCTTCCTGAGCATAAACCCTCACGTCAAGCTCGTTGGTCTTGAGAAATCTGACCACTGAAACATAGAATACTAAACGCCCTTTTCTACAAACGTCGTGTCTCAATATCTCGAACGGACTGTCAGTCTCAGTTACTTTATCTAACCATCCTCTACTAATGGTTACAGTCGCAATTGACGTTGAGTTTTCACACTCCAATATCATTGCCTTGGACTGCTTCTAGCACCTCTAGCCAGACTGTCCGCAGGACGCTGCCTAGATAGGATAGTCTCATCTCTCGCATGCAGCATCACTCTCCTGCCGTCAGAACTCTTGCAATCCAGCAGATGCCTAATCCTAGTCTGATCCGTAATTGCTCTAAAAGCAGCCGCCCGCATAAGCTCAAGGTATTACTCTACCATGCCAATCTCATCACGCCTCCCTAGCCTAGTGTCGCATCCTCTCACGACCCCGATGACAGTCGCTCGTTGCTCATCTAGATAGACCTCGAAGCAGAAGCTCTCTCCGTCATCAGGAATGTAGACATCTCTTGGCATGGCTCACCACACCCGGTCTCTAAGTACGGCGTTGAGGATGGGTCCCCAGTCCTTTCCGTCGCAGAAGATAGCGGGCACATGCGGACTTGGGAATCTCTCAAACTCTCTGGGCAGGACACTCCAGGTCACTTTCTTCCCTTGTTGTCTCAGCAACAGCCTTTCATCCAGAACATATTCAGCAGCAGCTATCCAACATGCCTCGTAATTGATCCCTCTCCTTGTCTCAGCAGATACGTATGGCCTCACATCATAGTCATCCGTATCAAGAAACCGAGCCACAAGGACGTACAAGATCACTAAGTCATGATCACAAGTCACGCATCTCTCAATGACGTCCGGGAAGACACCCCCACCCGTGATCCTAGTCAGTGTCTCTATCGCTTTCGTTACTACTGACATTGACTACTTACCAGGTTTGCCTTCTCAGCGCTGCATTGATGATTGGCTGCCAGTTCCTACCATCACATAATCCTTTAGGTACTGGCGGGGTAGGAATCCTCTCATAAATCATAGGCAGTAAGCTCCAACTCGCTTCTATCCTTTGTTGTCTCAACTGATCCCTCTCGACTTCGACACACTCCACTATGACATCCCAATTGGTAAAGAAACTAGGGTCTTTATCAACCCCTTCTAGGATGTAAGGTCGAATATCATAATCATCAGTGTCAACGAATCTAGAGACAAGTACATGCACAGTCGTTGTATTTTTCACACAAGTAATGCATTTGACAAACATATAAGGGAAGACAACACCGCAGGTGACACGAGTTAGGGCTTCTAGGACATTATACTCTTCAGTCATCATCTGGTTTCCGAGTTATGGACTTCTCAAGCGAAGGGTCCAGAAAATAAATTCCAAACCCCTGCCTGTAGGTCTGAATCACTTCAGATAGACTTCTGCAAGAGGCCCCTCCTCTCGGGGCTCCTCTAGCCGAAAGTCTTTCTGACCTGAGCCAGAGTTTGTACAAAGTATACTAGATTGCTGTCTAGTCACATAATATTGTGACCAAGGTCCGCTCCCAGAAACTCAAGATTTTTGAGTCCCCGGCAACGGCGCCATTTTTTGTCGCGCCCCCACCGCTCCAAGGGTCGGGCTAGATATCCTTTCCCGGACCGAGCTCAGCGGGTTGATGGACTGGCAGGCTGTCATGCAGGATTTTTGATAGTTATATAAAAAAATAGAGGTGTGTTCAGAGGCAGTCACACTTTGTCATACAGCCGAGTAGTTAGGGTTATCCCTCCTGCCAGCGGCGACACGGCTTAGAGTGAGGCGTTCGGGTTTATCGCCTGCACCTGACCCCGTATAAAGGATAGACCCAAGGTCACTGGAGTCCCTATCATTCAGGAGTCCTTCGAGCTGCCTTGAGTGTAACCTGTTTTAAAATAAGGAGGAAAATAACAAACATGCATCATACATCAKARARCACTTGACACTGACAACATGAGAAGACCAGAAACCAGACTCTGCAAGAGCATGACCAGAGAAACGAGACTGAAGAGTAGTACACAGAGTATGCAGGGAGCAGCCATTGGAGGGCTGCAGTCACTTATAAATAATAATGTTGTAATACATCAATAGAGACTGAAAAGAGAGAACCTCAATCAATGATAATAAGCGGTACCCCCTCGTGAGTGAATGTTGTCGTCTGGGACTCCTCGTCACTGAGAACTCGTGTGGCTATAGACTTTGGAACCACATAGCTGATCTCGAGAGGTGGTGCTGGATCAATCTTGCAAATATAGGCCATGCATCTCGCCCTCTCCTCGTCTGCGACGCTCCTGAGGTAAAGCTCCTCCGCAAGAATGATGTCGCCTGAAGCTCCAATCAATATCTCTATAAGTCCTCTTCCGCCAGAGTAGATGTAGGAAATCTCGAGAAAGCGATCTCCGTAAAGAGGCTTTCGATAAGCCTGCATGGCAAAGTCCGTCCCGACCAAATGACTATAACCATCTCCGAGGTATGGGACCGGACCTTCCCCTCTTGGGGGACCGATAACTGTCTCAACTCTAGGGTCGTCTGACATATAAGAGTCAATCACCCTCAAGAAGATACCGTGCAAGAAGATGTGCGATCCTCCTCAATGTCACCCTCCGACATCCCCGCTCGCTAGTCTCCAGCGCTCCCGTCACTGTCCACAAACTCAATCTCTGTGAGTGTCCCAGTCGAAATAATCGCCAAGATCAATGTCACTCACAGAGCAGGGCTCCAAGTCCGACTCATCCGTCCCTGATCTCTGGACGCATGTAGTGATTCGGACCCCGGATCTGGCTATCTCTCTCCTAATACGGTCGTCCTTCCGCCTCTTGTCCTTTCTGCGAGACTCACTAAGGAGCTTGGAGTTGCATCCGTCACAATCGAAGAGCACACCCCCCAGGAGCCGAAGGTACTTGGGGAAACACCACGTGCAGCCAGTTGTCCCTCCAATAGCTCTCCCTGCGAAATGTGTAATCCACAATCCTGTCGTATGTGGTGCCCTTCACTCCCGTCTCTGCCCCCTTCACCGAGTAGGTGATCTCGAGCGTGTGTCTCGAAGTCGATGACTCATTAGCCTTGATAGTGAAACTCTGATGTCCCGCATGTCTGAAGCAGAACCTCTCAATCAATCTACCCCACTTAGGGGTAGTCTCACGATGTCGGGCCAGTTTGGATGGAATGCACGCTCTCTGATGCAAATACTCCCTCCAAGAGCTGACCGGATAATAACTCAATGTGGAAGCCTGTCTGAATGGCATGACTGATCTGCAACTCGATGTAGGGCCCGCCTGAATGGGCCCGGCTGAAACAGCAACTCAATGTAAAGCCCGCCTGAGTGGGTCTGGCTGAACAGCAGCTATCTCAGAAAAAAAAGTCCCGCCTGAAGGGGCCTGGCTGAAAAACTGCAACCATCTCGAAAAGTGGGCCCGCCTGAACGGGCCTGGCTGAACAGCAACAATCTCGAAAAGACCCGCCTGAAAGGGTCCGGCTGAACAACAACAATCTCGAAAAGCGGGCCCGCCTGAAGGGGTCCAGCGGAACAGCAACTCATCAATAGAACATCTCATGCACAGGGACCAGTCACAACTGCTAAATGTACCGGGGCTAGATTGAGCCAGGTCAACTGTGCAGGGACTGAACTGCCAATGTTCCCCGTGAGAGGAAAGATATCACGTGAATGAGGTGTTGCTGATCAGCAAGGAAATAAATCGGCGGGATCGTGACGGCAAATCGTCCCAGCAATCCCATTGCTCGGGTGTTCGTGGGCTCGCACTCAAACGATAATATCCAGCCTGGGCACACACATATCCAGCGCAAGTGCACATGGGCGCGCACTCGCATGGGCGCGCACTCTAAGAGCAATATCAAGCAGGGCGCGCATGGGCGCGCACTCTTAAGCTTGGGCGCGCACTCTAACAGCAATATCAAGCTTGGGCGCGCATCAGGGTTGTCGACCCCCAGCCCCGGGACCCCGTCGGGGTTCCGGGGTTCCGGGGGTCGGCACCCAGGACCCTGGCCCCCTGTATGGGGGCTGTCTCTTATACACATCTAGATGTGTATAAGAGACAGCATCAATAGAGA